GGGTTATGCAGCATCCACCAAGGGAGCTGTTAAGCAAGCCGACACAGTAATAATGATGAAGGCCATGCAGAAAAAGAAGGATAGTTTAGAATTTAATGCCAGGTAAAAAGGGAGAAAAATGTATGCAAGCGTAGTTATAAGCATGTGGAATGTATGCTATGCAGACAGACAGGAATACAATGGATGGGAACAATCACTTGGGATGATGAAAATATTTATTAGCAATTGTATATCGAATATCTACTTTGAGCTAGACACAGGTTTAAGTTTTGTGAAGAAAAAATTGTGAGTTTTTTCTAAGAACTTATTTAACATTCACTAGGATAGATATAATAAAAAAAGATGGACAGTAATGTTAACAAAGATGCAGAGAAATTGGAAGGCTTACATGTTGCTAACAGGAATCAAAATGTTATGGTCTTTTGAGAAACAGCTTGGCAGTTCCTCAAAGGGTAAAACATAGAGTTTCTTCATGATGTGGTGATTCCAATGCTATGTATGCCCGAAAGAAGTGAAAACATATGTCTACACAGAAACTTATACATGAGTGTTTATGGCAAGTCATTAACAATAACAGAAAAGATCTATCAACTAATGAATGGATAAACAAACTGTTAGGTCCATGCAGTGGATTATTATTCAAAGGGATGAACCTTGAGACCATACCATTAAGTGAAATAAATCCGACACACAAGCTTAAATATTGCATAGTTTTTCTTATATAAGAAACCCAAAGTATAAATAAAGAGCAAAATAAAAGATAGTGATAGGACCTAAACAAAAAAGGATACACGTGCTATATATTCCATTTATGTGAAACATCGATAGTAGATAAAACCAGAGACAGGAAGTACATTCAGAGTTGCCCAGAGCTGGAGGCCAGGATGGAGCTGGGGAGGAGGGGAGACCTGGGTGTCTGCCCATGGGCATGGCCTTTTTCTTGGGGATAAGGAAAATACTGCACTCTGGAATTAATGGTGCTGGCTGTACAACTCAATGAGTAAAAACCACTGAATTACACATGTAAAGGGGTGAACTTTATGATAGTAAATTATGTAACAATAAAACTGTTATTAAAAATTACCTAATGGTGTTGTTATGTTGTCTTTATAAATAAAATGTGTGATAAATGTTTTTTAAAAAATAGCCTGGCTGTTTGTTAAGAAGTTTATGTCTGGTTCTTTAATAATAGCAGCACGCCCTCAATTTGCTTCAGCCACCCACATTCCGAGGAGATTGTCCTGGCAGTTGCCCAGGGCAGATCAGAGATACAAGCAAAAGAAAGAGAACCCGAACTATCTCTTCCAAGCCAGGATTTCAGGGACATAAAGAACCTTTCATTACTTCAGTCAACACTAAACAGCCTGACAGAAAAGGTACACATTTAGGAACTGGATGATTAGTAAATGCCCACGGTGAACTGAGCATGGGCTTCAACAACAGTAATAACCACAACAACAGCTGCTATTTTGAACATAATCAGTCCCCAATTAGCGCTATGAAATGGGTTCTACTGTCAGCCTTCTTTAACAGGCTGGGCAAAGCCAAGCAATTTACCAAAGGTTGCAAAGCTAGCAAGGTAGAGTGAGGGGGCAGCGTGATCCAGTCCACACTAGGGCTTGACTTCTGGTCCTGGCGGTTTCCACCTCTGTAAACGCTTGTTCTGGCTGGTTATGAGACAGGAGACGCTGACGACATATCCAAGTGGCACACTGCTTTATATTTCAGTTGTGCGCCATAGCTGTGTTTCTAGTAGGTCCCCATCAGTCTGAGCACAGAGGCTGGATCAGAACCCAGGAGTCTGGGTCCAAGCAGTCCAGACCCCGTCACCAGCCAAACGTCTGGCTGTTAGAGGCGCCGCTCCTTCAGTATTTCTGTGACACCCAGCTCTGACCGTCCTCCCAGCCCTTGGGTTTGTCATTTGCTCAAAGTTCTCTTCCTTAGCCCCTCAGGCCAGCAGCAGGAATAACACAGCCACCACCGCAAGGAAAACTCATTGGCCAGCTCTTCCCAGAAGCCTCATTCTGACTCTGCAAAGTGGATGCTACCAGTACCTGCTTTCTGTTAATAGAGAAATGGAGGTGAGGGAAGGGTAAGTAACGTGTCCAACATTGTCATGTTGTGGTGAAGCCAGGACTCTACAACGGCCATTTGACTCAGGAATCAGGCTGCTGTGACACTTGCCCTGTGGCATCAGTGACAAGTGGGCACAGCAGAGGTGTCCATCATCCTAAACTCCTAGGCCCCTGATCTCATGCTTGGCACATTCACAACAGATGTTGTGAAGTGACTGTGTGAATGAATGAATGGCTTCTGTCTAACTGTTACAGGGTTCGACATGACATTCCATAGACACTAGAAGTCAGTAGTGTTCAGCCTCCCTGATTGATTTTATTCACTTTTCTCCCTGGGTTGTGATTATTAACAACCACAAGGAAAGGCTAACACATGCAAAGAGTCACTTATTTACTTGGCCTCCTCAGACTTCTATTCATGTTTTCCTGATGCCTGATGGTGCCTTTTATTAGGCCTCCATACTGTCTGCTGGATGAAAAAGGCTTTGCTTCACAAGGTGCTGGAAAACAGAGGGATCATCTGCTTCTTGCCACTCAGATCTAGACCCATATTTAGTTCTTGTTCCCTTTGCTTAGGTTGTTTTTGTTGGGTCCCCCAGTAAAGAGCTCTGCCGCCTAGGTGTCCACTGCCCTTACCCCTTCTGATGTTCACTCGCTTCCCCTTGACACCATTACAGGAAGCGGTGTTAAGTTTATAGCCTCGGGAACAGTGCTCTGTGGAACCCAATTCACATGCTGAATGCCGTGGGATCCTTTTCACTGCTGGCAGCTTTTTTTGGGTCGTTCATTCCCCATGCATGGCACTAATAGCTTTTTCAGACCTCTCCTGGGACATGGACTATTTTGCATTTGTAAGCTACCTTTATGGAAAGGGCCTCCAGGTTCCCAATTGTCCTGTGACCACTCATCTGTTGGAGATGACAATGTCAAGGCCTCATTTGCCAGAAAATGAAAATACATGGTCACTAGTGTGATATTGAGAATGTCCTTGTGGTGCTGGACGTGTGTGCAGGGCTCCAATGAGGCAAGTAGTACAAAATAATGTCAGGGAGGGGAAAAAAAGGATATTTCACTGATTGTAAGGATTGCTCTGCTAGAATTGTAAAGTAGGGTGGGGAATAAAGAGGAAATGCAACTGCATGGGGGCAGGCTAAGGGAAAAGGAAAGGAAGTGTCAGATTTGAAGGCTGGAAGATTTTGCCTTCCATAGCAGCAGCAGGGGATCTACCCAAATACCATGCCATTGCCCTGACACAACTCAAGTCCTCATCATCAGGACAGAGAGGAGTTTCCAGAACGGTTACTTCAGCCTCTACTCTGTGCTATGCACCCTTTCACTATTTAATTGTCATGACATTGCCCTGGGAAGGTTATTATCCATTTATTTTATAGTTTGGGAGACTGACACACAAGGAAACGACATGATTTGGTCATCATCATACTACTAAGTGCCTGTGTCATTGTTAAAAGCCAAAGCTGGGCTTTTCCTTCTCCACCACCTGCATGCTGACAAAGGAAGTACATACACCCATGGACATGATGATAAGACCTCTTAGAAGTCTGTTTGATGATGCCACTTTTTTGCTGTTATTTGGGGGATTCTCCTGGCCTTGGTGTCCAGAATGTAAAACTGCTTTCCTTCACTTGCAGGCAACTAAATTCTCCATGCCGTGCAATCTTGAGGAGGAAGGAAAGGTGCCCCTGAAGATAGCCTGATGGCAAGTACTATAGAAGAAAGGTCCCCTTCAGGGAGGAAGCCATGGGACAGGAGGAACTGGCCAGAGACATGAGTCATCCTGGGTACTTTACCACAAAGAGCCCAAGGAAGCCCTGGTATTTGTTTGTTTCCATGGTTCCCACCCACTCATAGCATTAATTTCCACTGGGGTGCTCTGTACACATGGGCACCCCTTTCACTAGTCAAATATTTGTTGAGTGTATCCATGTGCCGATACACAGGGAAGATTAGATTTACTATACATAGTGACATAAACACACACACAGTGGCCTGAGACTAAAGTTTATTTTTCTCCCACATAGAAGTGTACAAGTTAGCCATGCAGGATAACATGGAGGCTCTTTGGTATTACCAGGGACTCTGACTCCTGTCTTTCTGCTCTTTCTTTTAGCCATGGCTTCTTTCCTCAAAGTCACTTCATGGTCCAGGATGGCTGCTAGAACTCTTGGAAGGAGGAGGGAAAACAGAAGAGAGGAAAGAGACTTTTACCAAATGAATCAGATTCATTTAATTGGCCCTCCAAGTAATCCCAAAATATGCTTTTCTGTTTCTCATTGGCTAGGAATTAGTCACATATTCATTCTTGGCTGCAAAGGTGGCTGAGAAATATATCTTATACTGATTCTGGTGCCCTGGCCTATGGAACCAGAATTTAGAGTAGATGGAGTAGGGTGGAAAGACACTGAATTCTAATTCCAATCTCAATAAATAACAGATAAAAGTGAAGTCTTTGGATTAAATTCCAACCCCAATGTTCCATAATTGTAGAACTCTGGACAGGTTGCTTAACTTTGCTAAGCTTCATTTTTTTTTTTTATCTGTAAAACTGTGTACAGAGCATCATGAGCCAGTGTCTTAGTTACTTTTCTTGTTGCTGAGACAAAATACCCAACATCCAAAGTTAAAGAGGGAAAGGTTTATTTAGCTCACAATTTGTAAAGGTTTCAGTCCATAATCAGCTGGCTCCAAACAGGGTGGCATGGCAGAGGGGCAACAGTTCATGACTGTGGAAGACAGCAAAAGCAACATGAGAGAGAGAAGGGACAAGTCTATTTCCAGTCCTTATATTATATGCAGGCTACCTGCCCTAGGGCGGGTGTAGCACTCACACCCTTAATCCCAGCATTGGACCATGAATCAATCACAAATACTAGATTCAGTCACCTCTGAAAAGCCCACCCGGCCAGACTGAATGAGGCTTTGGGGGGACATCTAGACACAAACCATAACAGCTAGTATAGGGTTTGATGTTGGCACCACTGACATCTGGGGCTGGGCAATTCTTTGCTGTGGGGGAATGTCTTGTGCACTGAAAGGGATCAGAAACTTTCAAGGCCTTTACCCATTAGATGCCAGTGGCACCTACCAAGTTATAACAATCCAAACTGTCTGTAGACCTTGCCACATGTTGCCTGCATGAAGACTGATGAGATAATGTGTGTATGACATGAATGTTTAGTAAGTGTGATTACTATTACCACCATCTTCATTAGTGCTCTGAAAATACTTGTTGAAAAAATAAACACAGTTGTGGAAGAAGAAAATCACCCACAGAAACTGTTTCTGATTTTAGCCTGGCAAACCCAGGAAAGGAATTCATAGTCATGATAAACATTGTCTGTTAAGCCCACCTGTTGCATATACATGTAATGTTAGAAATGTTGGAGAGGCATTTTCAAGTGAGCTGTAGGTGACATCTGTTGTTTTGTTGCCTAGTTTGAGATTGCCTGGTTCAGCTCTGGGGGAAACACCTACTGCCACTTTGAGCTGTGTGCTTGCACGAGGCTGATCTCTGTGTGGTTCAGTGGTAAGTCATAGGAGCAGGCCCAAGTCTCCTGGAGAAGTCCACGTGCTGGGTGAGCCATGGTGGTTAGTCCAGGAACAGGAACAGAGCTTGAGTCAAAGCCCACTAAGAAAACCTCAGGATTTTCTTGATTAACTGATGATGAAGTTGCCCTTTCCACTGGACTTGAATGTAAGCGGTCATAAGATCTGGAATGGAGTTCTGGTGATTTCATCTGAATTCCCATACTCTATTATGCCTGTATTTATTCTCTAACCATTCATGATTTTGAGTTGATAAACCATATTTTGCTTAAATTTGTGTGGGCTAGTTTTTCTGCCTCATAAAAACAGAAGACCCTCAATTGATACTTGGTCCTGATTATAGGAAGTGTAAAACACTTTGTGGATAGCTTCACATCTTGTCAAAATAGAATTTGGATCAGTTGGAATGCTTTGAGTGACAAATAACAGAAAACCTATCTCTAGACGTCTAAAGCAATAAAGGAAATCCCTGACTCCTTGAAAATGTCCAGTAGACTTTTGGACTTTAGGTCTAGGCTCCAGTTCCATTTCCCTGTAGCTCTTTTGGGCCACACTGCCCTCCCTAGATTGGCTTTGCTTTTTGAACAGCTTTACTGGTGGCCAAACAGTAACAGCGGTTCAGCTCCATGGACGTGTACCACACATACAAGAAAGAGGAAGAAGAAACTTCTCAGCTTGAAACCATGAGCAGAAGCCCTGGCCTTCACTTGATTACCCTACTTAACTCACGTCCTCATGCTAAAACCAAGCAAGACAGAGGTCTGCCCCATGTATAGCCAGAGCTCGGAGCTGATGCAGTGGGCAGGCCCATGGAAATACACTAGAAGGCCTGCTCAAGGCCAGCTTTAGAACAAGAAAGCAATATTAAATGTCACCAAAAATACCACCATTTAGTGGCAGCTTTCAGTGTCTTCCATTGAATATCAGTGCTGCTTCTGGATCCTTGAGGTTTGCTTGTTTATATATTAGCAACCCCATCATCGCTGTTGGAGTTGCCTGTCTAACATCTGTTCTTCTTACCAGACAGTGAGGGCAGAGAATTATAGTTCTGTGGCTGGCACTGGACTCCTTCCTTCAACTAACCAGCAGAATGGCTCTAGACAAGCTACTCACCTCTCTGGACCTTAGTTTCCTCATCTGTAGAATGGAGATAACAGTGTTATCCAATGTAGAGGATTGTTCAGAAAAACACACAAAATAATGTCTATAAAAGTGCTCAGTGCACATCTTACTCAAGAGAAGCACATTGTACTCTCTCCCCATGTCTCTTTCTATATCCCAGACCCCAGCACATGGCTGAAAGAGCATTGGTGTGGGAGGTGTTTGAGGTGTGAGCTAGGGAATGAGGAAGTCACTGACTAACTGGGCAAAGCACAGACAGCTGACTAACCGGTGATGCTTTAGCCAATTGATGGCTGAGAATTTCCAGGCTGGCCAGAGCCTTGTGTTGACATTTACTGACTTCTATTTTCAGAAATACCAAAAGAGAAACTGTTGGACAACTGCTTATGATGTTCAGCTAGGAGAATGGGTGGGGTCTGCTCAGGCAGAGTGGCCATGTCCTTGGAGTTTGAATGTGTAATTGGTAAGAATCTAGGGCTGGTCCATCAGCTTGGGGACAGGGACATGTGGGAGCTGCTGCTAAGCCCCTCCAAAAGTCATTACACTCAGGTTGGAGGTCATGATGTTGTTTCCTGTTTCTCCTGTCTTCTCACACTCAGCAGGACTTGTGTCTGCTGTAATATATAAAACACAGGTCAACGAAGGCTGGGTCAGGGTTTATGACCACGGTCATCAGAGACTAAAAATGCACATTCTTAGATTGCCACACTTGACCTGCTCAGTGGGGATCTCTGGAGCAAGGGCAAAGCAATCTTCAAGATATTCATCCACTACTTTCACCCGTTTCACTTCCTTTATACAGGAAGAAAATGAAGCCCAAGGAAGTAAAATAACTTCCCCAAGGTGACACGGCTAGTTTGCACTGTATAATTGATGGATGGTTCTACTGGGGCATTATTAGAGCTGCATTGCTTTATGCATGGTCACAAAGTGTTTCATCTCTATTTTCTCATTTGAGTTCTTCAACTAGTCTCCACATGAAGAAATAGAGTTATTGTTTTTATCATGAAGAAATGCAATTTTTATTTATATTTTTGTGTCAGTAGGCAAACATGGCCCCTTCAGAAACTTACCACAATCCTTTATACCACTTGTATGCAAATTAGCAGAAGACACTCTCTTCTAGGAGGATGGGGCTCTCTGACCAGTGAACAGGCTGGATTTCAGTCTCCACTCTCAGTCTTGCTGGGATGGCCTTGTGCAGTTTCCAACTGGCACAACTGTGCCTGACATCTCCACTATAAAGGATGAAGAATTTTTATACTGGTTTGTATTCCTGTGACCTAAACTAGAGCTGGGCTTGTAAGTGTTCAGAAAAGGTGGTTGAAATGCCACATGACTTATCTATAGCAGGATGGGAACCTGTGATTCTAGGCATGACCTCGGCTACTTGACATAGGAGACAATAAATTATAACCTGGAATTCTGTACTGACTCCATCTTTTCAGGAGTTGACTAGTATAATCTCTAGAATTAAGTCACTTTGAGATGCTCAGGAAACCAGTCTCGCAGTTAAGGCTGGATCTGCAGGGACCCCACCCCCAACCCAGATGTAAGCATCAGAAAGCTAGTCAGTCTTCTCATCCCTGGGACATACCACCTGACACCTGGAACTTAAAGATGATTTAATTTGGCTTATGGTTTGAAAGGATTCTGTCCCTGGTTGGCTGGCTCCAAAGTAAAAAACATCATGATGGAAGGGCATGGTAGAGCAAAATTTATGCAGGCAATGAAACAGAGCACTGGCAGTAACAGGCTGGGAACCATATATATCAACCAACATCAGGTCTCCATGACCCACCCAGATACACCTAGAAGTATGCTGGGCTAATCTCCTGGGCATTTTAAGCCAATCCATTTGACACACCTAAAGTTAACTGCTACACCAACTATCACTGAGCTCTTTCAGGGCCTAGGCCGAAGCTCAGGGCTTTCCTTCATCCCACAGTCACTCTGTGAGATGAGCATTATATCCCCATGTTACAGATGAGGAAACCAAAAGAGCATTAAATGACCTGCTCACAGTTACACAACTAGCAAGTGTCAAGGCAGGACTCCGACTCAGCTGCATGGTATCTGACCACCAGACCTGTGCAGCTATGTCTCAGGGTATCCACACCTTTGTCAGGTTGGACAAAGCTATATACAGGAGCAGGGACAAGGCCTGGAAATAAGAGCTCTATCTTTTTTTGTAGGCCAGTTTGCTTCATCACATTTATTGAGTGCCTACTGTGTGCCCAACTCCTTGCTCAGCAGCTTTATGATTTGCATGTCTTTTCTCATATAATCCTCAAAGCAAACTTAGAAAGTCAAACCATTGCCCTAGCAGCCTTGTCCTTCACTCAAAAACAAGGCAGGACTCAAGGCTAGGTCTACATGGATACTGATAGTATGATAAAAAATGTCTTCCTTCCTTCAGGTAATCACTAGTAAGTTTTTTTTGTGTGTCCTATTTAATATATTCTGTGATTACAGAAGGATATGTTTATGGATTTAACATGTACATGTGGATGTATTTTATATATTTGTTCATATATTTGTGAGATACACACATTTAACATAGATAAGAGATTAATTTAATTGCATTTATTTTCAAAACATTAGTGTTCTATGACACCAGAGTAATAACCTGAAAACGAGCAGGGAACCTCCTGGGGAAGAATGCCAACTCATAAGCAAAAAGTGCAAGTAGATTTAGAAAGTCATCATTTTGTATATTTTTTTTTATATCTTAGGAAGAAGTTTACTTTAGAGGTCTCCTCTCCCATAGGGCAGTCTCTCCACAATGCACACTTTGTTTCCTTTGGTGGTCTGTCTCATGCACCACACACTGTTAATTTCCAGGACTAATTTGCACAGACTCTGCAGTGCACAAGGCTGAAGAATGAGGCTATGAGGATGTCCTGGAATCACCTCTTCCCTGAATAGTGCAATGGCACAAAGGTTACCAGTAGTTCTCATTTTCTTTTCTCCTGATAATTCCTCCAAAATAGATCACCCAAGTGCTTCACCCTGTAAACTTCTAGAATGTTCTTTCAACCCTGAAAACCAAATCAGAACAAAACCATCCTCAGGGCCACATATCCTTACTGTCGTTTCCACAATCCCAGTGTGAATGGTCGTGGGCAAACCCTGGCACATCTCTCCCACAGATCACTTGAAATCTGTGAGCTGTTCATCCCCTCTGCACTCAGTGAAGGGTTCTCTTCCTCCTCTGCTTTCCTTCCCTACCTCTGGGACCTCAGTAGATCCCATCAAAGAATTATCCCTTGTTCTTCACCTTCTACTCATTACTTCTTGGATTCCCTTACTTGCTCACTTATTAAGCAGTTGTGATTTGTATCTAGGTGTTCCCAAGACCCTCAGAGCCCATAGATGGAGCTGTGGTAGGGTGATGGAGTGATGGGGATTATAGCTGACTTACTGTTGGGAGGTGGAATCTGGTTGGAAGAAGCCATCACTGGGGTCAACCTGGAAGTGTTTATTTCCCTCCCTGGCTCCTCCTCTGACACTGTCTGCTTCTGTCTGCATGTGATGAGCAATTCTCTGCCAGGACTCTGTGCCATTGCTGTCCTGTTTTGGAGCCAGCTTATTGTGGACTGGAACTGCTATAAGCTGTGAGCCAAAACAAACTTCTCCTACTTTAAGTTACAGATGTTTGGAATTTTGTCACAACAACAAAAAAAGCACCTATGTGTTCCAGTAATTTTGCTAGGAACAAGAATTTAGAAAGAGAATAGGGATGCTGGCCTTTCCTTTGTGGACCACAAAGTGTGCTTCCAAGTCACTTTTGCCAAATACTTCTGAAGTTGCTTATGTGAATAATGATAATAATGATAATAATAATAACGTTGTTATTGTTGATGAAGTTTCTGATGATGAGAAAAGAGAAGGAGATGGCATTTTTAGAGCCACTGGAGCTATTTCTCCATTGCTGTCTCTCTAATGATAATTTTATTTTTATTTTTATTTTTGGCATTGCCAGGGAGTGAACCCAGAGCCTCATGCAGGCTAGGCAAACATTCTGCCACTCAGCATTTTAGTTGTGTCACTTAATTCCCTCAACAAACTCATGAAGCAGGTATTATTTTTATCTCCATTTTATATGTGAGGAATTCTAGGCCCAGAGAAGTTAAGTAATTTTCTCAAGGTCATACACTTCATATGGGATAAATCCTAGTGGTGATCTGAAGTCTGACCCTTTTAATTATTATCTTCTCTTGAGGCCAAAAAACCACCCAGTGAGAAGTGTCAGAAAAGTAGGAAAATGAACTATGAGAGAGGAAGAAACAAATGAGGAACAAGAGCCTGATGGAAACATAATATTACGTCTCTGGCCCTTGGCATAAGGAATCTGAAAATACGTTAGTGATAGAAGTGGTCCTGGAGCTGTGTTATCTGAAAGACAGCATTGCCCCAGAGTTATAAAAGCGGAAATCCTCAGGGTCCAGTGGGATCTTATCTTAGTTACTTTCCCATCACTGAGACACAATTTGACATCCACAGTTTAAAGGAAGAGAGGTTTCTTGTGGCTTGTGATTACAGTCCCTGGTTGGCTGGTTTCAAGGCAGAAAACAGCATGATAAGGGAGTACAGCTGGGGAAAAGCTCCTCACTTTATAGTGGCTAGGAAGTAGAGAGAGAAGGAAGGAGCTAGGGAGGAAGGTAAACCTTTCTCGGTCACATGTCCAGTGACCCATCTCTTCCCACCAGACCGTGTCTCCTAACAGCAGCTACAATGCTTTCATGATTCACTTACCTTCCCAAAGTAACACCTGTGAGCACAGGACGTTCTTAGGGGACATTGTGATCTAAAACATAACATTCTGCCCCTGGACCCCAGGAGACTCATGTACATCTCTATGCAAAATTCATTTAGTCCATCTCTAAGCATCACCAAAGTCCTAACAGTTCCAGTATTGCTGAAAACTCCAAGTCCAAATTCTCTTCTGAGATGCAAGGCAAACTGTTAGCTGTGAATCACTGTAAAACTCAGAAAGAGAGTTAAACACTGTGGACACACAAGAGCACAGAGTAAACATTTTCATTCCAAAAGGAGGAAATAGGGAGATAGAAAAGAATTAGACTGAAAAAAGACCAAAACTCACCAGGGAAAATATTAAATCCATTAGCTCCATATTTAGTGCCTGGGGAGAGTTGAAGTGAGATGTGAACTTCAAAGGGTTTAGGTAATCCTGATCCTACAGCACTGCAGGTTGCAGCTCTCTTTACTGCATTCTTGGGATGGCTTTTCTCCCTGCCTGTAGTTTTCCTCAGATGTTCCTTGTTCTTGGCTTATCTAATTTCTTGGGGTCTCTACTGACTTTTGGCTTCATTCTTAGAGCTTTACATGTTGTCCTCTTAAAGGCACATGGCTTAGCCTTCCAGGCCTTCTTGTGAAATTTGAGTGGAAACCTTTCTGACCCCACAGCTCCTGCATTCTGCATTCCAAAAAAACCAACACCACATGGATAATGGTAAGATTCCCTTGATTATGGCTGCAAAAGCCTCTTAGTGCCTGGATGGTGGAAAACTGTGAATAGAATCCTGGGGAACCAACGTCCTAGGCAGGCTGCCCTGAACGTCTCTTCTCAAAAAAAGTCTTTCACTTTTGGACCCTTTAGCCTGTGAAAAGTGAGGCCTTGCTGATTCTCAATGTTATGGCTTGTATCTACGTGTTCCCCCAAAGTTGTATGTGCTCCTTGGGGAGGCTTTTCAGAGGTGGCTGGATCTGGGATGTGTGAATTAAACATATGATACTTAATTAAGGGTGTGTGAATTAAGGGTGTGATACTGAGGTTAAAGGTATGTGGTACTGGATTGGTCCACTAATTGGTTTAGAGTATAGTTCTGCTTGTGGGTAATGGGGAGGCCCACAGTGGGTGTGAGTGGCACCACCCAAAAGGCTGGTAGTTTGGATGAGATAAAAGGGTAAGGGCTGCTGCTGCTTGCTGCCTCCTGCCTGCTCTCCCATGGACTGTTTCTTCTCTGCAATGCTTCTCTGCTATGCCTCCCTGCCTTGGTGCCAGCCAACTACGGACTGAATTCTCTACAAATTGTGAACTGAAACGAACCTGTCTTTCTTTAACTTGTGGGTGTAGGATATTTTGTCCCAGCAAAGAGAAAATAACTAAGACACTCAGAATGCCCTCAACATACCTTTCTATTATTCTCATGCAAAGTGCATGGCTTCTTTTCAATCTTTTCAGCAATTTCACTCTCCAAGACACCATCTTTGC